ATTTCCTTCAGAAAGCCACCCAATTCTTCTCCTTCCCTAGGAGGTGAAACAAAGGAGAGAAAATCAACAACAGTTTTCAAGCTGTAATGAGTAATTTATGCAGAACTCAAGGATACAATATATGAAAAGATCAAAGGAGATTATTTTTCCATTCAGAAAAAGAGGGAAATATCTGGAAATCAGTGGGGAGGAGAAGGTCAGTTGGAAAGCAAACAGAAGGCAGACAGTAATGCAGGCCTTGCCCTGTGAGGAAGAAAACGGCTTTGATTAAAAGCATCAATAAACAAGAGATCACCATTTTTTTTTTATCTCCTTAAGAATATCAGAGATGGAAAAGCTGCAAAGATGTGCTTATTTAGGGGAAACCACAGATTTCAAATCAGAGCTGATTATGGATGAGAGCATCCATATTGGAGAAAACCCATACAAATTATCCGAATGTGGCGAAAGTTTTGATCAGAACAGCTCCCTTGTGGTTGATGGAAGGACCCACTCAGGAAAAAACTCCTACAAGTTTTCTCAATGTGATAAAAGCTTTGGCATGCATGGTGACTTGGTAATACATCAAAGGACTCACAACAGGGAGAAACTGTATAACTGTCCAGATTGTGGGAAGAGTTTCATTGGAAATTCCCACCTTATGAGACACCTGAGGACTCACACAGGAGAGAAACCCTTTGAATGTCCTGATTGTGGGAAAAGTTTCAGTCAGAATTCCACCCTGGTGAAACACCAGAGGACTCACACAGGAGAGAAACTCTTTGACTGTCTTGATTGTGGGAAAAGTTTCAGTCAGAATTTCAACCTGGTGATACACCAGAGGACTCACACAGGAGAGAAACCCTTTGAATGTCCTGATTGTGGGAAAAGTTTCAGTCAGAATTCCAACCTGGTGATACACCAGAGGACTCACACAGGAGAGAAATTGTATGACTGTCCTGATTGTGGGAAAAGTTTCATTACAAATTCCCATCTGGTGATACACCAGAGGACTCACACAGGAGAGAAACCCTTTGAATGTCCTATTTGTGGGAAAGGTTTCAGTCAAAATTACAGCCTGGTGATACACCAGAGGACCCACACAGGAGAGAAACCCTTTGAATGTCCTATTTGTGGGAAAAGTTTCAGTCAGAATTCCCACCTGGTGATACACCAGAGGACTCACACAGGAGAGAAACCATATGAGTGTCCAGAGTGTGGGAAAAGTTTCAGTCGGAATTCCACCCTGGTGATACACCAGAGGACACATACAGGAGAGAAACCGTATGAATGTCCGGAGTGTGGAAAAGATTTCAGTAGTAGGTCTAGTCTTCTAAGTCATGTAGCTTTACACACAGGGGAGAAACCTTTCAGATGTCCGGTGTGTGGACGGTACTTCATGCGTAAATCATCTCTTATTGCACACAAGGAAATCCACACAAGGCAAAAGTTGATGAGTTTAGAGAAGACTTGAATTTAATTTCTGATCTCTCATTGAGAATGTAGGTGAGAAATTGACTACAGGTAGTCCTCAACTTATGACCACAATTAAGCCCAAAATCTATGTTGCTAAGTGAGAAGTTTGTTAAGTGTGTTTTGCCCCATTTTAGGACTTTTCTTGTCACATTTGTTAAGTGAATCATTGCATTTGTTAAATTAGTAATACAATTATTAAGTGAATCTGGCTTCCCCTTTGCTTGTCAGGTTGTAAAAGGTGATCACATGATCCCAGGACACTGCAACTGTCATAAATGTGAGTCAGTTAAGCATCCGAATGTAAATCAGGTGACCGTGTGGATGCTTCAACAGTCATAAGTATGAAAAATGGTCATAAGTCATTATTTTCAGTGCCGTTGTAACTTTGAATGGTCCCTAAGTGAACTGTTGTAAGTTGAGGATTACCTGTTTCTGGATATTTTCTTTTGCAGAAGTTGTGGAATTCCTCAAAAAGGCTTTTGGGTGTTGTTTGTATTTTGATTATGGAATTTGCACATCTGGAGTTTCAGTCTTCTATCTTGGTATCCTCCAGATTATGAGCTCCAGAATTCCCAAGCTAGCATACAAGTAGTTTGGAAAAAGTTCAGAGAAAAGCAACTAAGATGATCCAAGGCCTGGAGACTAAAAATATGAAGAACGGCTGCAGGACTTGGCTTTGCTAGTCTAAAGAAGAAGAAAAAGAAATAGGGGTGGCATGATATTAGTATTTCAGGATTTGAGAGGCTGCCACACAGAAGAGGGGGTCAAATTATTCTCCAAAGCAACAGAGGGCAGGACACGAAACAATGGTTGGAAACTGATCAAAGAGAGAAGCAACCTGGAATTAAGGAGAAACTTCCTAACAGTGAGGACAATCAACCAGTGGAACAGCTTGCCTCCAGAAATCGTGGGTGCTCCATCACTGGAGGTTTTTAAGAGACTGGACAGTCACTTGTCTGAAATGGTATAGGTTCCCCTTTTTGTGCGGTTGGCTGGACTAGAAGACCTCCAAGATCCCTTCCAGCTCTATTCAATTCTATTCTAGTCACTGATATACAACTGTTAATGTGTGAGTCGTTAAGTGGAACATTGGCTACCACAGTGTTGGGGGAAGCTCTTGGAGGCCTAGAATGGCCCAGGCTTCCCTTCTCAGGGCCTACCTAGGCCTCTATGTCCTGAGACACCCCGTACTCTGTTTCCCAACCCTTGGGTCTCCCCAGCCCTCCCCCCCCCAACATTTTTCCCACTCCTTCCCTACCAGACTTCACACCCTGATCCTCCTTACATTTAAAGGTTCCTGATCTCACATTGCAAAAGGAGGGCAGGCCATACATCCCTGGATTACATGACTGTGTCCTGGAAGCAGCCATAATTTTCAGTGTGCCTGGGATTCATCCCCAGGCCATGCAGTGGACTGGTGGGAGCAGCTGCCATTTTGCCACACCTGCCTCTGAGTTAAAATGGCAGCTGCTTCTGGGTCAGTGTCTGTCTCTGTGTGTGTGTGTGTGTGTGTGTGTGTGTGTGTGAGAGAGAGAGAGAGAGAGAGAGAGAGAGAGAGAGAGAGAGAGAGAGAGAAACTGCTCTGTTTTTCTACCTTAACACCCCAGACTGCCTTAAGGGATTGGGGGGTGCACTGAAAATGACGGCTGCCTCCGGAAGATCTCCAAAAAAGCGGGTGATGGGTGTGCGGGAAATTGGCCCAAGGCCCAATGGAAAAAAAAAAAAAAGCAGTGTAAAATTTCACATGTAATGGCTGCTTTGCAGATGAACCTGTTGGAGAAGAGCTATAGTAATGCTGAATTGAGAAAAGGAGCCCTTACCTTGATCACAGGATCTCCAGGTTTATTAGCAACTCCTCCTATGATCTCATTTTCTTGGAGGTGCCTGTTCATTTCCCTTTGACGGCAGCACCAAGTGGCTGACAAACCTGTTGCATCCTCCTTGGTCAGGGGTAGGCAATCTTGGCTCTTTTATGGCTCGTGGACTTCAACTCCCAGAATTCCTGAGCCAGCCATGCTGAGGGGAAAGGGAGAGGTTTCCAAGCTGAGCCATGCTGGCTCAGGAATTCTGGGAGTTGAAGTCCACGAGTCATAAAAGAGCCAAGGTTGCCTACCCCTGTCCTTGGTGGTGGCGATGTGAGGAAAAAAATTGATCAGTGGAAAATGTTTCATTTTTAAAAATGCATTGTGTAAGAAATATCATTAGCTTTTGACAAGGAAAAAAGTGGATAGTGTTGTTATGAACATTAGGGCAAGGCAAGATTCTTAGAGTCGCCTTATATTGAAATGTGCAGTGAATACGTTTAATAATAAATTTAATAATAAAAAGGTAATGTACAGCCCTTTTCTCAACTCTTGCTCAGTGGTGAGGTTGCCACAGATATGGGAGTCAAGCTATTCTCCAAAGCGCCTGAAGGCAGGACAAGAAGCGACGGATGGAAACTAATCAAGGAGAGAAGCAACCTAGAACTAAGGAGAAACTTCCTGACAGTTAGAACAATTAACCAGTGGAACAACCTGCCTCCAGAAGCGGTGAATGCTCCAACCCTGGAAGTTTTTAAGAAGAGACTGGACAGCCATTTGTCCGAAATGGTATAGGGCAGTGATGGCAAACCTTTGAGAGACCGAGTGCCCAAACTGCAACCCAAAACCCACTTATTTATTGCAAAGTGCCAGGTGGGCGTGGCCCACTGGGTGGGAGTGGCTGTGGTGGTCATGGCAGACTGGGTGCGTGTGGCCAATGTGGGTGTGGTCACCTCAATGTTGCTCTTGGGGAGGGATGCCTGTGGGGAACGGGCAGGGTTGGGGGAGATCCAGGGGGGTCTCTGGCAGGTGGGGCGGTGGGCAGGAGGCTCGTCCTGCGGGCTAAGGCAAGGCGAGACAGGGTGGGGGTGCCATTGTCACAAGGCAAGGCAAAGGAAGAGCCGGGTTGGCTGCTTCCTGACACCATCGGCCCCCGCACAGAGAGGCCAGCAAGCACATGGGGGCCAACAGTGTCCATCAGCAGCCACAGCCTGCCGGCCCCTCAACTGGTACACTCTGGGGCTGTGGAGCCCACCGTCAGCAGTTCAGAGAAGCAGCCTCTGAGCTGGACGGACAGCCGACAGATGAGGAGGCGATGCAGTGCCCCGGAAAAGGAGAGTATGCGAGGCCAGGAGGGATGGGGAGGGAGGGAAACCAGCCATGCTGAGATGCATCTGGCCACATGGGACCTCAGCGAGTTAGCGTGTGGCTACTTGAAGCACGGTTGCCATCTCAGGGGCATGGTGTGCGTGCCCACAGAGAGGGCTCTGAGTGCCGCCTCTGGCACGCGTGCCATAGGTTCGCCACCACTGGTATAGGGTTTCCTGCCTGAGCAGAGGGTTGGACTAGATGACCTCCAAGGTCCCTTCCAACTTTATTATTATTATTATTATTATTATTATTATTATTATTATTATTATTATTATTATTATTATTATGGTGGGTTTCTAAGACACTACACTTGTTCAGCTACCTGTAATCTGTCTCTTTTGCATTCTGCATCTCTATGACCAATCTGTCTTCCTCAGCTTTCCTTCCCTCATTAAAAATTTAAAATTTCAGTTCCAATCCTGCATCAGTCCAGCCACTCTGTGCCTCTGATGATTTGAGCTGCAGTTAGGCTTCTACCTCTTAATTTATTGTTGCATTGTTATCTGCCCCAGTCCTAAATTCTATGAAAGTAACGATATTTCTTTTTGCACAGTTAAAAAAGTTAGAATGGCTAACCTGCTTCTGTTTTGATTGGCATCTTTCTCAGATTCAGGGCATTTCAAACTCGACGACTAAACTATGATTTCCCTTGTAACATTACAACCTCTAAAAGCAGCCATCAGTTGTGCCACTGGGTTTGTAGCCTTTGAAAATCATAAAATGACAGGGGATCTGTCTGATTTCCCTGATGATTCTACCAATACTGAACTGTATCTGTGAAAGTTGAGGTCCCCATGGATGGAGAAAGTGAGTAGAAACAAAAATTTCAAAAAACCAGGGAATGAATTCCTTTAGCATAAGAAGAACTTGGTTGATCAGCCTGAAAGCTGGTCCTGACTGTAGCACTCGGGGTATTTGAAGGTGCCTCTGATCCCCTCTTGGTTCTTCTGGGCTCTGTGCCCCCCGGTTTTATTCCTTTGAGAACTTTCCAACGGATTTAATTAAAGCAAATTTCTGTTTCCACTAATGCTTCTGGAGAAACAAAAATGATGGGTAGCTATAACTGAAGCCAGCATGGGTTTGTTAAAAACAGATCACACCAGATAAAACTTACTGCCTTTTTTGACTAAATAAAACTAAATTTTGTGACTAAATTAATGGATCAGCGAAATATTGTGGAGATAGTATACTTGGACTTTAGAAAGACATTTGATAAGAGTAGACCAAAACTTACTTCTTGATAAGATAGAACAATGTGGGATAGACAGTATCACCACCAGTTGGATTCACAGTTTGCTGACCAACCACATTCAGTGGCTATTCCTCAATGGAACTACATCTACATGGAGGGAAGCATGCAGTGGGGTACCTCAAAGTTCGGTCTTGGGCCCAGTACACTTCGACATCTTCATAAATAGACGGGCTCAAGATCCAAAAGGATCCTGATAGACTTGAGCATTGGACTGTATCCAACAAAATGCAGTTCAATGGTGAGGAAATGGTCCTGCACTTAGGTAGGGAAAAAAACCAAAGGCACCGGAATAGAATAGGTCAGTGGTGGCGAACCTATGGCATGCGTGCCAGAGGCGGCACTCAGCCCTCTCTGTGGGCACGCGCGCCGTTGCCCCAGCAGAGTTCGCCAGAGTAGCGAGGACGTGGCGTTTGGAAGCAACAGGGCAAGAAGTGAGCGAGCAAGCGGCGTTGCCCGCCCCCCCAGGATGCCCCGGAGATGGCGAGGGACTGGCCCCGGCCACGCTCACCCAGTCTGCCGTGACCACTTCAGCCACACCCACCCAGTGGGCCACGCCCCCCACCCCCCCTGAGGGCACCATAATGCTGATGCAGCCCTGGCACATTGCGATAAATAAGTGGGTT